CAATGAACTCTCTAAATCTACATAGGAAGCCATTCATAAAGCTGCATGTGTTGGAGTCTTTCAAAATATACCCATTTTGTATAATATACCTAAAGCTCGCATCATTTTCCTGTCTTTCCTCTATAGCAGTGTTTCTCAACCAGGGGTCCGTGGACCCCTAGTGGTCCTTGACGTAAGGCCAGGGGGTCCATATAAAGTATGATTTTTTGTATATTTTGACATGACGTGTTCCCATGAAAGAAAAGTCCAATATAGCTGATGATATGGCCAAATACTGGACAAGTCAGCTAACTTGAATTATACTTGACTGCATTTGGTCCTCACAAAGACACAAATGATACATAGATGAGTCAATGTTGGTCTGGGTGTCCTTGAGGATGGTTCTGAATTGGACTGGGGTCCGTTACGCCAAAAGGTTGAGATTCACTCCTCTATAGGATTAAAGAATGGATGCATCCAAACAAGACAGCGGAAAGTACAGTATGATTACAAGACTCAATGACATTTTATTATTTCCCTCCAAAGGAGCAGAACATGGTAACAGCCTGCCGAGGATCTTAGTCACGGTTAACCAGTCTGCTGGTAAAGCTTCTTACAGTGCAACTAACTGCATTGGGTGTTAATCTTTCTGAGACGCACTTATTACCTCACACGTAAATCCAAGCTAAACGCAGCACTGTGGCTTTCGTTATTCTGTGAAAGTCTTGAGTCAATTTTGTTCTGGGGGTCCTTGAGGATGGTTCTGAATTGGACTGGGGTCCGGTAAGCCAAAAGGTTGAGATTCACTCCTCTATAGGATTAAAGAATGGATGCGTCCAAACAAGACAGCGGAAAGTACAGTATGATTACAAGACTCAATGACATTTTATTATTTCCCTCCAAAGGAGCAGAACATGGTAACAGCCTGCCGAGGATCTTAGTCACGGTTAACCAGTCTGCTGGTAAAGCTTCTTACAGTGCAACTAACTGCATTGGATGTTAATCTTTCTGAGACGCACTTATTACCTCACACGTAAATCCAAGCTAAACGCAGCACTGTGGCTCTCGTTATTCTGTGAAAGTCTGGTCATTGAGAGATTGGCAGCTGAACAGAGCGAGTATGTAAATGTGTGGTTAACCTGGTGCAGTCCTGAATGCAGTCTGCGCTGTTTCCATCTTTGAGGTAGCAAGCAGCTCTATTGGAGTACAGAATACAAAGATCCTCTGGGCTGTCGATACCTGCAAATACAAGCACAGCACTGAAAATAGACTCAGAAAGCAGCTTTAGATCTGCATGGATACAAGTGGGAGGAAGGGTTCAGTGTTAAGGCAGCCATTTATGCTGGAATACATTTCGTGTAGTCACCTGATATCATGTTACAAACCCAACTAGTCATAGAGTAAACACTCTGGGGAAGCTGAGCTTAGAAAGACGGTGCATCCCTGCTTTCAAAAGGCCCATTACGTAACTTTAGTGGACACGCCCACAATGCACAGTTGCGGAAGTGTCAGTCTTGTGAAACGCGTTCACTTCTATTTCACAACAATGCAGCTTTAGTCCCCAAAATGCAGTGGCTTGATGAACAGCGGTTTAAGACCTTTTCCATGGGACATCTAGACAACAGAGCCTCTCTATGAACCGGTATCGGATTCCTTCCCCTGCATTACTCAACGCTGCTAAACAGGATCTACGCAATGTTTGCGCAAAAGATGCTTTTGTGATTCACACTACAACACGATTCATTGAAATGTGCTGGTTCATTTGGAAACACCCAGTCACCAAAAACTGTTAAACATACTATTCATGCAGACATATAATATAGATAAATACTTGTACCCCACCAGAGTCATTGAAAGATGTTGGATAATTTGAAAAATACAGTACTTTTAAGTCAGTATGCTATAAAAAAAGTATCAAAATATTGTCACCTTGCCAACAATGCCACTTTGCTGAAACCAAAATCTGTTAAATATATTATATTATTAACATCATTTCAATATACTTCAGCACAAAATACTTGTATCCCGCCAAAATCATTTAAAACCAACTGCTTTTAAGTCAGTATACTATAAAAACAACCACAGCTATGCCAAAATGACCAACTTACCAAAAATACCATCTTGGTAATACCAAAATCTGTTAAATATACTATTTTAACACAGGCATCATATATGAATTCAAGTTACTTTAACACAGAATACTTGTTACCCAACCAGAATGATTGAAACATGTTGATTCATTTGAAATATACTATAAATAGTGGGAAAATAGATACTATAAAATACCACCTTGCCAAAAATGGCATTGTGGTGACACCAAAAATGGTTAAATATACTATTTTAGCATACACGTATAATATATTATTTTGAGGTTAATACTTGTACCCCACCTGAATCGTTGAAATATGCTGGTTAACTAAAACATAAATTGATATAATATGCCAAAAATGCCATTTTGGTGACACCCAAAATCTGTCAAATATACTATTTCAAGATAATTAAACACAAAATACTTGTATCCCACCAGAATCATTAAAAAACAGTACTTTTATGTCAGTAAACTAGAAAAACAATGATCACCTTGCCAAAATAGCCACCTTACCAAAGATGTCTAATCTTGGTAAAACCAAAGACTGTTATATCTACTGCTTCAACACAAACATAATGTATGATTTTGACAATAAGTACAGAATAGTTGTACTCTACCAGCTTCTATACATCCGTCAATGGCCTGTGTGTATTTCTCCAGCGCGTCCCCAAACTGTCCATTTTTGAACAACATATTGCCCTCATTTTTGAGCCTGGCCAGTGGAGGAGGAAGGGCCCCACACGGGGCGTCCAGATTACAGCTCGCCCCAGCAGTGCCACTGTGTGCCGGACCAGAGCCCTGAGGCTCATCCTGGCTCTTGCCGGCTGGAAGGGTACCATTCACTGCCGAGCTCTTCCCTTGGACATCCTTTGAGTTGGCTGTGTTGTTTCCATGGCTCCTCTTGTACCCCGGGGTCCCAGGTTGAGAGTGCGGGCCCCCTCCCTCTCCGTGACCGGGGCCCTTCTTTTGTGAATTCCCCATGGCTGCCCTCAGTCCCTACCAAAGTACAGCGAGCTCCCGTCCTCACACTCATACACTCATACACCCTCTTCCTGTTCCCTGCGCAGACTGTGAGGCTCAGCCAGAAGTGGGAGGACACGCCTCCTGCGGGACACTCTGAGCTGTGACATCACGCGGGGGGAGGGGCTGCGGAGCTGCTGCAGAGTGGGGGTGGTTTACTGTGAAACAGCAGCCAGGGGACTTCAAACGTCTCTGCTGGATTTCATTGTGCGCAAAATCAGCTGCAGAGCCCTTCAGCTGACACTGCTCAGCATCTCTGTGCTCTAAGCAAAATAAAGCTCACACAGTACCGCACAAAAGTTTGGAATAATTAGAATGTTTTAATGTTCTGGAAAGAAGTCTCTTATACTCACCAAGGCTACATTTATTTGAAAAAAAAAAAAAAACTTTAAAATAATGAATAAACAATTTAAAATACCATTAAAAAAAACGTACAAGTAGTAATATTGAGAAAAAAATGTTACAATTGAAAATAAATGGTTTCTATTTGAATATATTGTCATCAAAGCTGAATTTTCAGCATCATTACTCCAGTCTTCAGAGTCACATGATTCTTCAGAAATCAGTCTAATATGCTGATTTGCTGCTCTCTCTCTATACAATTTTTGCTGCTTGATATTTTTAGATTACTTTTTTTTTTTTCAGGATTCTTTGGTGAATAGAAAGTTAAAAGAAGAGCATTTATTTGAAATAGAAATCTTTTGTTGTCACTTTTGTTCAATTTAATGCATCCTTACGGAATAAAAAAAATATATATATACATTTTTTTTTTATCTTAGCCCATACTTTTGAATGGTGGTGTATCACAGTTTCCACATAAATATGAAGCAGCACAGCTGTTTTCAATATTGATACTACTAATCATAAATATTTCTTGGATCATCAAATCAGCATATTATACTGATTTCTGAAGATCATGCGACACTGAAGACTGGAGTAATGATGCTGAAAACATTTTAAAATATATTACAATAGCAAATGGTTATTTTAAATTGTAATATTTCACATTAGTGTTGTTACTGTATTTTCGATCACATAAATGCAGCCTTAGCAAGCATAAGAGACTTATGTATATAGAATAAAAAAAAAAAAATATATATATATATATATATATATACTGACCACTAGTGTGACTGTTCATTGAAAGAAACAGAAAATTGATTTTGTGTTATAATAGCACAAAACAACAGCAGTTATTCTGTTTAGCCATTTAAATTTTGGTTACAGCAACACATTTTGGCTAGTAAACATTTTCCAGACACACAGAGAACAAAGTTTTAGGATTCGGAAAAATTTATAACAAAGACATTTCTAGATCACTGTCCAAATGTTAGCAAAGCTGTGACAGTGATCATCTGCATTCATTCGTACAGATCGTCAGATGCTTTCGCATGCATTAAATCACAAGATGTTTGTTTTTTCCCCACAAATAACGCTGGATCACACGATAATCAGGTTTCACACAAACATGTAGAATCTACTATAAAACACTACAATGACACCAAATATTATTACATTGATTTTACTGTTGCTTGAGTGTGGTCGAAATCCAGTCACTTCAATAGGAATCCCTGTGATTGAGAATCTTGCATGAGGGCAAAAAATTTCCCCGCGCTGATTTCACAACAGAATCAGAAGCTGGTCACGTGAATTTGCTGTATTGACCCACAGAAAGCTGCTTGGTTTGAAAGTGATTTCTGCGTGAACTGTGCTTCATTATCACTGCACTATTAACAACAGACCTATTTTGCTAGTGAAATTTCGCTAATGATAACCTTCATCCATCCTAAACCCTACAAGAACAACTCGTTAAACATGCTTTGAGCAGGTTTACACCAAAGACCAAAAAAAATAAATAAAAAAAGTCACTTTATAATTCTAAACTGCAAATACAAGGAGAAAACACATTCACTCAAGAAGTTGTTTTGTAAATTGTATTTCACTCCGTTTTCATCCATTAGTGGTTACATGTATTTACACAGTCAAGAGATAAAAAAGCGCATTCTAACAGGAAAACTGCAGATGCATCTCATCGGGCATCAAATACAACCACTGGACACAAGAGTTAAGGGTAAACACAAAGAACACAGGAAGGGAGATATAATGACCACAAAATAAATCAAATCAAATTAAACTGTAAACAGGACTATAATGACTTAATGACTACAGCATGCATATCTGAATCAAGAAACCATGGCAAGAGCTTAATTTTTTAAAGGGGTCATATGATGCGATTTCAATTTTTCCTTTCTCTTTGGAGTGTTACAAGCTCTTGGTGCATAAAGA